ACAAAACAGCTCTGAGAGAGAGAAATCTGTTTTAATATACTAGAATGAGTCGCAAAACAAGCAATTTTCTGGAATTATAGAAATTAATATGAATGGCATCTTGACTAAAGTATTTTATAATAGGCCGAGAAATGGGGAGATTTTATATAAGGAAATCCTACAATTTGGGCGACAGTAAATTTCTTCGGTGGTATTGTTAGATTATTGCTTCCTAATGATAAGTTCAAATTGGCGTCATGACAGGGTGAAGCATTTGAAGCTATGCTGATAAACGCGTTTGATCGAAAATCTTGAAAACCACGGATACTCTTTCTTCATCAGTTTGCTTCTATACAAATTTGTCGTATGATCAACAGATTACGAGGAATTAAACGGTAAAGATACATGTAATGTTTCTATGGGTATCGAGCACCAACCAAGAGAAAACAAAATTAAGTTTTTCGCTGAAAATATTTGAAACAAATGGTGAAATTTGTTCCGTATACAAATGTTTTAGATTTTAGCCTCAGTACCAAAAATGTCATTTAATTATTTGTGGAGAGCAATATACTAATTTAGTTCTGAATTCCCCTGATTGGTGCTCGCCGCCCTAAGAGTATAAAGCATTACCATTTTTTTTATTTGCTACAAAAGGTCATTTATGTTTTTTTCGAAATCTTGAAGTATAAGGAAGGAAAGTTGAAAATTCGTATCAAAGTAGTCGCGCGACACACTCCGCAAGCTACGTACGTTGTTTATACTATTTTACTTCATAATCATTATCTATAATCAACAATATCGTTTTAAAGTGAATCCATTTATTTACTACCACGTGCAACTATGGAAAATGTAATACGTTTTGACTTTCTTTCCTTATACTTGAAGAACCATCAAGGTGTCGGAAAAATGCAAAGTACATTTTTTGTAGAAAACTTTATTCTCTCCAAAAACTGATAGTAATCTCTAACGAAAAAGAAGCATCCCAGCGCTCAACTAGTTATGATATATGGTCGAGTTCTACCAAAGAGCCGTTCATTTCAGCTGGTCGGAGTTCAGATCACCGAGGTTTTGATCTGGCAGGAACACATCTCGTCAATAGCGGCAGCAAAAGCAAGGCTATTTGTTCAGGGCTAAGAAGTAATTTTCTCTACATGACTCTGTAAAAGGCCCAGATAAGACCTAGCCTTGAGTACTGTTCACATGTTTGGGGTGCTGCCGCCCCGACTACATTATCCATGCTCGATGCTGGTGAGAGGATGGCTTCCCGACTGATCGATGACTCTTCTCCAACGGACAGTCTTGGGACGCTTGCACACCGGTGGGCCGTCGGCGATCTGGCTCTCTTCTGCCGCTATGTGAACGGGCTTTGTCCCCCGGAGCTCTCCTTCAGGATGCCTCTGCGCGATGTGCCTGCCAGAAAGACCCGCCTGACTTCAACCTTCCACCCTAATCGTGTCGAAATTCGTACATCCAGAACTAGCCGATACGACCGCTCCCTTGTCCCTAGAGTATCCATCTACATGAGAAGGCTTTTCTCAGTTCTACTAACCCTAGTCGGTTCAAAAATTTGTTTAACAAAGTTTCCTTGAGCTCCTCATGGCAGAAAAAAAGCTGATATAAAAATAACTAACAATTCGGATAGCAATTCCAAAGAAAATGAATAGTTTTATGGCGAATTCAATCAAAAACCTGACATTAACTAGATTGATTTGGAGGTTGCTAAGCGAAAATTTTTAGGGAAACGACGAGATTTTGCAGATCGAACAAGTCACCAAATCACAGGACTGTACTTTGTCGCGCCTTCATCGGAGGATACGGTTGACAGCGTCTCGATTTGGTGAAGTTTGTAGAAGAAGGCAGACAACAAGCTGTAAAGTTCTAGTAAACTCCATCATATACCCAACAGAGTTTTCTAGTAACGCAATAAAAAAGGCAATAAAAAAATCATTGGACACCGCAGTTCAGTCTTGTGGTTTGTTTACTGATCGCACACATCCATTGCTGGCAGCACCGCCTCCATCTACCTATTACAATAGACAAGAAATGTACTTAATCCAGGTATAAGCCTACCTGTTTATTGCTTTGCAAAAACTACCTAACTGTTTCCTCTTATTTTGACGGCATAAGATATTTTATGACTCTCGTTCAATTGTTACCATGTACCACATGACCCTTGTAAACATAATTGTGTTTACTGACATGAATAAACGAATTCTAATTTGAGTTCTTGAATTTAGTTTAGGAAAGATATCAAATTATTTGAATACATTTTTCTTAGTCGGAACGCACCGTCGCGTCGCTCGGACTGGCAGGACGAAACAGTAGACGAATTTCGCTCAAAAACCGATTTGCACTGCACAGCTTACGTTTCATTTTTTATTATTTCCAAATTAAACTCTTGCAGCGTGCTAAAAACAAAGTCCACAGGGTGCTAACGATCCACTTTTTCGATTTTATCTACTAGGATCTTTTTAAAATATCAAGAAGTTGAGCACAAATTCGATAGTAAGCACAACCCACCATAATTCTTGCGCAAAGACAAAATTTTGTAAAACGCTCTGATAGCACCTTAGGAAATTATATCCAGAAAAACATCACAAACTGCAGAACACAAATTGAACGTAACGGCGAAATGGGTACATGTCATGGCTCATAAAATTCAAATGAAAATGCAGGTATAAAATCTACCAAATTATCGTTCTCAAAAACATATTTCCTTGACATATCGATAATTTTAAAGTTCCACGATAAATTCCCCTATACTTGACTGGAGTGAGATCCGAATTCATTCTTCCCTACTGTCGGCAGTTGCAGATAGATCTGTTGGCTCTTGGTGTCAAATCTATAGAGCAGGTACCGATTTTTTCAAATCGTGAGCACATTATTCGTCGAATTTTCGTTATCACTGGGATCATAATAGAACGTGTTTCACTGATATCAAAGATGCAACATTCAGAATCACCTTCCCCCAACCCCCACTTTTTAAGCAGTACAATTTTTTTCTGTCAATGATAAGCAACCCCTGTAATGTCAAAAACGGAGTTTTAGCAATTGTTACTTTTCCTTTTTTGCCTATAGCACCGTTGCCACTGGACTAAAACTACAAAGCTTTGGCATATATAATTTCATAAAAATCCGAGCGGTTATTTCCAAGTTGATGAGTGACACAGTTTTTCGTGATGTAGATGTCATATGACTTAAAAAACATAACATCTCATTTTAGAAATGTTTCGCGATTACAATACTTCCTCGCCAATGACGTGGGAAGTAAAACGGCTTTAAAATCGACTAGTATCCGCGATCGCGATTATGAGTACCTATTTGCAGAACGACTTATCTACGCGATATTAGATGAAATAGGGCCACCAAATTATCTGAATACGTCCTTTCTTAGGCGCGGGACTTAGCGAGACACCGCGCGTAGTTTTCAAACGTTCCTGTTCCACACAACGGGCCTAATCAGCAAGCGACCTAACGCGCGGTGGCGGCGGTAACAAACCAGTTTGGTCTTGTCGCTCGGCGTATGCATGAGTATTACTGTATTCTAATGGCGGATACTGAATTGTTTATAAGGGCAATTCAATCTAAACCACCTATTTGGCAAAGTAAACATCCACAGCACAGATATTTTACTTAGGATGTAGTCAAATCTTGATGCGGGCATTCGAGTGTACTAAAAAAATTGGTAGGCTATAATCTCAGTTCTTCATACAAATGAAAAAATTCACCAGTTGTTCCTATTTTTTATCTATTTCGTGCACACCATCTCGAGTGTTCAGTACCTCCCATCTCAGGATCGGACTGTCTAGTAAAAATACCAAATCGTCGTCCATAGTTTGGAGAACTGGTAACTGGTAATACTACGTACTACGTAGTACGTCGAACCAGGGATCGCGTGTCACTGTGGACACCGCACACCGCTGCTCGCCGCGCCCGCCTTAGTCAACGCGCATTCAGTATGGACGCACACTTAGTCCGTACATTGCGCCGCAACGCTTGGGTTGGGAGCACGAAACAGTAGACAAAAATCGTCCAAAATTGACGCTTTATTTTTTGATACTTTTGGATGAAATTTTCACAGGGAGCTGAAAACAAAACCTCACATGGTGCTATAGAACCACTTTTTCATTTTTTCCCTAGGTTCTTTTTAAAAAAATCGCGAAGTTGAACAGAAAAAGTACGCACTTCAACCCATCATAAAACTTGTGCATAAACACAATTTCAAAAAATGCTCCTATAGCACCCTGGGCAATTATCTTCTAAACATACTGTATGAATTTCATTCAAAAATATTGAAAAATGGAGTGTCAGTTTGGAAGCAGCTGAACCCTTGTAAATAATCTTGAAACTCACTGCGTCGGAGCCGCCTTAAGGACGTATCGTCAATCGTTCCTACAATTGTAGGACACCTTTATGGCCTACTTGATTTTCATAGTTTTGTAGTGTACCGTGTCACCGCTCTATATTGAGGTTGTTACAAATATCTATTTGCAACAAATTATTCGTGCTTTTGATTACATCATCTGCTATATCAGCCTGGAATTTCCTACAATTCAAAAAGAAAACACAGCCTCATAGTAAGTGTGCGTTGACGCTAATACGGACAGTAGACATCTAGAAATTTCCCAGCCTTTCTGAAGGAGAGAAAAGACTATGAAAATCAAGGAGGTCATAAAGGCGTCCTACAATTACTGTATTAACGACCGCTCTTAGGTTGTTAATTTGGCCATTATAAGTGAAAATATCATTAAAACCTTTAAATTCCTCGTAACCCATTGACTATACCACAAATTTTCATAAAAGCAGAATGATAAAGAACCTAATTCCCTATAAAATTGTTCTTATTGTTTTTTTACACAAAATCGATGGTTTTCGACATTTTCCTTTTCCCATATCATGACGCCAATTAGAACTCATCATTAGGAACCTATAGTCAAACGGTACCACCAAAAAGAGTGATAGTCGTCAAAATTGTAGGAAAAAATAACCTACTATCCAGCTTATAACTTATTGTCTTGTAGGTATGGGTAGATGCAGCAACCCAAGTCTTCTTTTCATTGGGGCCAGGATTCGGAGTTCTCCTAGCATACGCTTCTTACAACAAGTATCACAACAATGTATACAAGTGAGTACCCAATGATATCAAAAGTTTCAAACGACAGAAGCACCGTAGAGAGCGTTAATGGCGATAATGGTTCAGTGTGACGTCTCTAAACGTCACGTGATTTTATGTAATTTACTAAAAGCGAGCTTGCTTGTCGTTATGTGGACAGCACCGAGCTGTGCTGGAATTTCTGCTCCCTGATGCTTCATCTGTGTGATATTATACGAGGGGGTACCCTAAAAAACAGGAATTATTTTTTTAAAGCCATTTATTTTCAACTTTTTCACAAAGTAACCTTATCTCCTTCAAAATACTGTCCACTCCAACTATACTAAGTGACATATAAATCCGAACACCCAGTTTAAATGGTTTTATTTTAATAAAAGTTGGTGAATGTATTTATCTTACTGTAAATAACAAGTGAAAAAATGTTCAGCCTTATCAGTTGGACATTCCGGTTTTTATACTGCTTTTTTTTTAATTCACTAACGCTCTAAAAATGAATATTTCAGCCGCAGTAAAGAATCAACGTTGGCGGATGTTGGTTCTTGACATCCTTTACGATCGGTTACGATGCCTAGAGTACGGAGACCTGTACGATTTCGTCAACTTAGTGAGTTTGATAGGGGCCGTATAGTGGGACTTCGGGAAGCTGGACTTTCTTTTCGGGCAATTGCAGTTAGAGGGCAAAGAAGTGTAGGCACTGTGGTTAGGTGTTGTCAGGCATGGCTTCGAGAAGGCCGTACGCAAAGAGCAAGGGGCACTGGACGCCGCCGTAGAACAACAGATCGTGAAGATCGCCGCCTAAGATTATTGGCCTTAAGGGACCGCTTCTCCACTACCAGGTCCATTGCAAATGAATGGTTTGCAGAACACGGAAGACCTATTGGCATGCGAAGTGTTTACCGACGAATGAGAAGTTTTGGCTTGTTTTCATACCGGCCACATTGGGTCCTCCCTTTAACTCGAAAACACCAACGTAATCGCCTTGAGTGGTGCAGACAACGGTCACTCTGGGATCAGAAATGGAACAGTATTGTCTTTAGTGACGAGTCTCGATTTTGTTTAGGCATGCACGATGGTCGTGCCAGGGTTAGAAGGCGACGTGGTGAAAGGAGGAATCCTTTGTTGAAAGACATGTTCATCACACTGTTGGAGTTATGGTTTGGGGTGCTATAGCTTATGGTTCCAGGTCACCTTTAATCTTCATCAGAGGTGACATGAACACGCAGCGTTATATCCACGAAGTTCTACATCTTTTACCCTATCTTGACACCCTGGCAGATCCAACTTTCCAACAAGATAATGCCCGACCACATGTTGCAAGAGTCACAATAGACTTCTTTCAACATAATGATGTCACATTGTTACCATGGCCACCAAGATCTCCCGACTTATCCCCCCCAATTGAGCACGTTTGGGATATGATGGGTAGGAGATTGCTCAATTTGCAACGCCCTCCTCAGACTCTAGAAGCACTTCGAGAGGAGTTGGTGGTTGCCTGGAATGAGATACCACAGGAGGACATAGACCACCTGATCAGAAGCATGCCTAGGCGCGTTGGAGAATGCGTAGCACATCAGGGTGCATCCACACATTATTAAAGGTCAAAGGGCTTTAAAGCAGTGCAATCATTTTGAAATTTTTTCATTTACTTATTATGCTTCATTAAGTACTTATACAAAATTTTATTAAAATAAAACCATTTAAACTGGGTGTTCGGATTTATATGTCATTTAGTATAATACAGTTATCCCACCGGTACTTCTACTGCTCGAAACATTTTTTGAAGTCTTCCTTAGAAATGTCTGACAGCTCCTCCCTCGTTGTTTCTTCAATGTCGTCAAAGCGGCGTTCTTTAATGACCTTTTCCATCCGTGGAAATAAGACAAAGTCGCACCGAGTCAGGTGAGGCTGCGGAACCACACCATTTTTAGCCAGAAACTGTCGAACAGACATGGCTGTAGGCACAGCTGCATTATGTGGTCGAAGAACACTGTTTCGCAATCGTCTCAAAACCTCCAGCACAACCCACTACTCACGGATAGTTGATCGATTGTCAGTCGACAAGATCTCGACTTTTTTCAACATTTTCTTCGATTCGGGCAGTTGATGAACGTCCAGAGCGAGGTTTGTCATCAATCGACATATCGCCATTTTTTAAATCGAGCAAACCACTCGTACACCTGAGTTTTTCCCATAGCATCATCTTTGTAAGCTATTTCCAACATTAAAATAGTTTCAGCAGCATTTTTAAAATCAGAAAGCAAAATTTCACGGCTGCACGTTGCTCACTGAAGGTTACCATCGTAAAAAACGAAACAAGCACGCAACAGCTCTAGCAAAAATAATGACTACAGAGGAACCAAACAAGCAAGATCGACAACTCAGGTTCCTTAAAATTGTCTGGATTCTGGATTACCAGACCTGACAGAGTTACAAAGTGACACTGTGTCTCAAGAGCTAAGGTCCCACAGACCGCTCTGACATCCAACGATAACTTGACAACTCAGGTGGAGCTGAACTGGTCAACAGTTGCGCTGTACGCCTCTAGGGGTGGACATGTGCACTACACAAGCTCCGCCCACTGCAATGTTATCCCGGTTATTTTTGGGTACCTCCTCGTACATAGAAACATGCCGTATAGTGTGCTTCGTGAGAATACGACAATAATTCAGGAGCGATCTTCCGGACTATATTGAGACTATTTTATTAGGTGACGATTGTCGAAAAACAGTTTAGTTTCGAAAGTTCGAGGTAAATAACGTTTTCAGAAATATTATTTATTACCAAATATTATACAGGGTGTAATCCAACCCGCTAAATATGAAAAATCTAGATTTTAGGAAAATAATCTATTACGAGCATATATACTAAGTGACATATAAATCCGAACACCCAGTTTAAATGGTTTTATTTTAATAAAAGTTGGTGAATGTATTTATCTTACTGTAAATAACAAGTGAAAAAATTTTCAGCCTGATCAGTTGGACATTCCGGTTTTTATACTGCTTTTTTTTAATTCACTAACGCTCTAAAAATGAATATTTCAGCCGCAGTAAAGAATGAACGTTGGCGGATTTTGGTTCTTGACATCCTTTACGATCGGTTACGATGCCTAGAGTACGGAGACCTGTACGATTTCGTCAACTTAGTGAGTTTGATAGGGGCCGTATAGTGGTACTTCGGGAAGCTGGACTTTCTTTTCGGGCAATTGCAGTTAGAGTGCAAAGAAGTGTAGATACTGTGGTTAGGTGTTGTCAGGCATGGCTTCGAGAAGGCCGTACGCAAAGAGCAAGGGGCACTGGACGCCGCCGTAGAACAACAGACCGTGAAGATCGCCGCCTAAGATTATTGGCCTTAAGGGACCGATTCTCCACTACCAGGTCTAGTGCAAATGAATGGCTTGCAGAACACGGAAGACCTATTGGCATGTTTACCGACGAATGAGAAGTTTTGGCTTGTTTTCATACTGGCCACACTGGGGCCTCCCTTTAACTCGAGAACACCGACGTAATCGCCTTGAGTGGTGCAGACAACGGTCACTCTGGGATCAGGAATGGAACAGTATTGTCTTTAGTGACGAGTCTCGGTTTTGTTTAGGCATGCACGATGGTCGTGCCAGGGTTAGAAGGCGACGTGGTGAAAGGAGGAATCCACAGTTTTTTGTTGAAAGACATGTTCATCACACTGTTGGAGTTATGGTTTGGGGTGCTATAGCTTATGGTTCCAGGTCACCTTTAATTTTCATCAGAGGTAACATGAACGCGCAGCGTTATATCCACGAAGTTCTAGAACCCCATCTTTTACCCTATCTTGACACCCTGGCAGATCCAACTTTCCAACAAGATAATGCCCGACCACATGTTGCAAGAGTCACAATATACTTCTTTCAACATAATGATGTCACATTGTTACCATGGCCACCAAGATCTCCCGACTTATCTCCAATTGAGCACGTGTGGGATATGATGGGGAGGAGATTGCTCAATTTGCAATGTCCTCCTCAGACTCTAGAAGCACTTCGAGAGGAGTTGGTGGTTGCCTGGAATGAGATACCACAGGAGGACATTGACCACCTGATCAGAAGCATGCCTAGGCGCGCTGGAGAATGCGTAGCACATCAGGGTGCATAAACACATTATTAAAGGTCAAAGGGCTTTAAAGCAGTGCAATCATTTTGAAATTTTTATCATTTACTTATTATGCTTCATTCAGTACTTATACAAAATTTTATTAAAATAAAACCATTTAAACTGGGTGTTCGGATCTATATGTCACATAGTATAACTTTTAAATTTTTTAGTGTTATATACACATATTTAAAGCCTTTAGCATGCCATTAATTAATATCGTTTTTGGTCTAAAACGATTTTTTATCATTTTCAAAACTTTAAATTCTAATTGCTCAATAATTGTTTTTCTGGGTTGGTTTCTTTCCGCAAAAAGCTGTCCAGTTGGTCAATGTGATCTAGATTCACCCGGTGAATAATGATTGCTTACTAAAGTTAAACCACGTTGACAACTTTATCATAAGTAACCTCCACCTCAAAAGCTTTAGTTTAGTCGTGATTAACTGAAGTTAGTTACACGATTAAGCAGATTTTTTTGTGGCTCTATAAATAACCGATCCTTTCGCTTTATGTATGATCATATATCGGATGCCATTAATGAACTCAACTGGATAAAAATTAATGTTAAGTACCAGCTCCTAAGTCTGACTCATAAGGTTCTTTATTCAAAAACACCGTCATATTTAATAAACAAATTCAAACGTAGAGGGAATATGCATGGCATTGACATAGAGAGACTTTTTCAATTCCATGTCACAGCTCATCTTTATTTCAGAATACATATATTTACAATGCGATCAAATCATATAATTCTTTAGACCGCAGTTTAAAAGAAAGCAATACATTACCCAAATTCAAGAAAAAAGTGAAAGAAGTTCTACTTAATCAGCAGCGAAATCTGTTGTAACCCATAAGTGGCCTCATATTTTCCTTATGCCTTTACTTAGGTTATACTTTATTCTGTCGTTATTGTATACATGTATTAATTTTCAAAAAAAATTTTTTTTTACATCTCGTATTGTTAGGGGGGTTAGATGGTAGAATATATATATTATCTAAATCTCGCCTCCTGTAAGAATATTACAAATAAAAGACGTTTATTACTATTATTATTATTATTATTATTATTATTATTATTCACTTATTATCTAGGGACGCCTTGTTGACAAGCTTTATCAACTCCCTCACCAGCTTTGTGGCGGGATTCGTTATCTTCTCAGTGCTAGGCTACATGGCCCACACAGCTGGAATGCCAATCGAAAAAGTGGCAACTGAGGGACCAGGTTTGGTGTTCATCGTATATCCAGCGGCCATCGCTACTATGCCGGGAAGTATATTCTGGGCTCTCATATTCTTCATGATGCTTCTCACGCTTGGCTTGGATAGCTCGGTAAGTATGAACTATTCTAGTAACACAATCGAACCAGGAAATTGGTACTTGACTGTATTAAATAAAATTGTAATAATATGGTAACCGTTTATTTTTGATACCGACTCTTAAAGAATTAATAAGATGCTTGGAAATCTCTTGATGTCACTCATTTCTTTTTTCGAAAACTATCCGAGATGGCCTATTTCTATAGGAAACAAAAACTGAAGAAAATAAGGTCCGCCTAAAAGAAAAAACAGTCGTCCTGCTATAATTTGTGACTGGACTGGAAATAGTTTTCACCCTTTAGAGTTAGAGAACGTCTAGCCAAACGTATGTGTTCCATCCAAATTGGACTATTGGTTCTTAAAATATGTTTTAAAAAGAAAACTTTGGCGCCCTCTAACAGACAAAAGAAGCCTTTTGCATAAAAGTAAATCATGTCCAATCGACTTATTTTGACTCTAAAAATACGTCGTACTTCTACGTATAAAAAATATTGAGACACCCTGTATACAGGGGGTTCCTTAATGATCTGCGAATATTTAAGGGTGTGAATCTACATGAAAAATAAATGTTAGTTTTTTTTATAAACTATGGTCCAAAAATGTTTCCCTACAAAAACTCGGGGTGTTGAAGTTTTAGGAAAAAAATGGAAATTAATTAATATTTTCAGAACCGGTTCAGATATTTTACTGATATTTAGTACGTAGTGAAAGTTAATAAAGTTGCATATTTTTCAATGCAAAAATAATTCGCATATCATTGAGGAACACCCTGTATACTGTGGCAGTACTGTAGATCAGAGTGTTAACTATACTGTAGATTCCTAAACTAGGGTGATGGGTTTGTTGAGGTTTTTCTGTTTTATTTCAGTTTGGCGGTTCTGAAGCCATAATAACAGCTTTGAGCGACGAATTTCCGAAGATCGGCAGGAACAGAGAAATCTTCGTGGCGTGCCTGTTCACCCTCTACTTCCTCGTCGGACTTGCGTCTTGTACGCAGGGAGGCTTCTATTTTTTTCACCTCCTGGATAGATACGCCGCTGGATATTCTATGCTCTTCGCTGTTTTCTTCGAATCCATCACAGTCTCTTGGATTTATGGTGAGTACCTTGTAAATCCAGGTTCTAGCTTATGAATGGTAGAACATGTACAATAATCCTTTTCACAAATGTACGAATTACGTTCGAAAACTGTAGGCTGAAGCTGCATCTATTCAGTGTAGGATCAACCCTTTCAAAAATAACGTCAAATTTGAAAAATATTATACAGGGTATCTGCAAAGTTGAGGTTTTCCTTTACACGACGTGTAGATCTTGAAAACATAAGCAATTTTTCTTAGTACGATATACACCAATGTCTTAATGGAACCTAGATAAAGGGCTCTGCAATATCAAAAATATCTGAATACCGTCTTGTAGCCGCGACCCGCGACATCACCGAGTGGTACAAGGTCACTGGCTCAACCCGACGACAGAACTGGGTCCGGGCTAGTGTGTCAGGTCAGTATGCAACCTTCAACCGACGGTTACAGTCACGTGTGTAGAGGTAAACGAACCCGTATAATCGATTGCGTTTTAAAAAAAAATAATAATGGCACACTCATACACCAATAATGAACTCGTTGATATGTTGTTAATTTATGGCGAATGTCTTCAAAATGCTACAGAGGCTTCGCGAGTGTATGCAGATCGCTTGCCTAGACGACATTATCCAAGGCCCCGCAGATTTGTGTACCTGGTTCAGAGAGTCAGGGCTACGGGGCCATTTGGAGGAATTTCGAGGTGGGCACAGTGGGAGGTCTAGACAACCACGAAGGGTGCAAGTTGAGGAAGAACTACTGAATCGCGTAGATGAGAATCCCTCAACAAGCACTAGAGACGTGGCTAGAGAAGTGCAAGTATCAAAAACTAAAGTGTGGCAAACGCTGCGTGAATAGGGGCTGTATCCGTTTCACGTCCAACGTGTACAAGCCCTTCAACCTGACGATTTTCCAGCAAGAGTGCGGTTTTGTGAGTGTATGTTGCATCAACATGACAATAATCCGGACTTTTTGAAGTGCATATTGGTGACAGACGAATCTACGTTCACGCGTGATGGGGTGAATAACTTTCGCAACACTCATGTTTGGTCAGTAGAAAATCCACACGCTGTCCGTCGGGCACATTTTCAACAAACATTTTCGGTGAATGTTTGGGCTGGCATGGTGAACGGTATGCTCATTGGACCATTTATTCTCCCAAATCGATTGGACGGGATGCAATACCTAGACTTTTTACGCAACATTTTGCCTTCCTTGTTAGAAGATGTGCCATTAAGTGTAAGACAATCAATGTGGTTTCTGCACCCATTTTAGACGCGAAGTGCGTGAGTTGTTGAATGAATTATTTCCGAATAGGTGGATCGGACGTAATGGACCCGTAGCGTGGCCTCCGCGATCTCCAGACTTAACACCATGTGATTTTTTTCTTTGGGGAGAAATGAAACGTTTAGTGTACAAAACTGAAGTGCATAAGGTAGACGAACTTCGTCTCATAATTGAACAAGCTGGTGCTTTCATTCGGGGGAGAGACTCCATTCTCAAAGCCTGCACCGATGCTTGGCTACGTCGTGCACGCACCTGTGTTTTTGAACCAAACGGCGATAACTTCGAACAATACCTACGTTTACCTAAAAACTGAAAACGCGGTAACGCCGTCATATTTGTTACCTCTGTTCGTGGTCTGCACCACCGCCTGCGTCTGCTCGGTAGCGCGTCAGCTGATTTCATTTTCTGTTGGAGCGGTATGATTTCGGGGAGAGACGTACTTAGCCCTTCTCGTCAACTGGAGAGTGAGTACTTTTTCCTTTATTTTTTTTTTACTTGGTCGCCCTCGTTTCACTACACATTACCTTTGTTATTTCAAGGGTAGTTGTTTCTGAAAAGGACAACCCCAACTTTGCGGACACCCTGTAGAGTTTCGGTAATCACAAATATTGCATAATATATTTTTTTTTGACATCTTAGTCCATGAAATATATGAGGTAAATATCAAATAAGGTAAGCATTAACACTCTCATTTTATATCGATTACGATACATACGAAAATATTTCTTACTCGTTTTAAGGAAAAATGTAGGGAGACATTTATTATGTGTGAAATATGTCTAAGGTGCGTAGAATTTGCGATTGGAAGTGTATTAATGTACTAACATCAAAGATTGCGATATACGCTTCTCCACCCCCCATTTTTTACCCCGAAAAATTTTTCAAAAATGATCAGAACCCTCTGAAACGATAAACGAAGTTTCAGCGGTTTTTATTACTTTCGCTTTTCGCAGTTCTCTACGCCGTACAGTGATTCCTCCATAGGCCAAAAGTCCCACAAACTCATGAGTCGGTATAAGTGAGTCGCTAAGTTATCGAGTAGGCGCGAGGCTTTCAAAAAATATGAATAACAATGCAATTAGTTCAACCTGTAATTTACTTGCGTCCAGGGGCGGCTGGCCCTTAAGTTCTGCAGAGCTGCAGAACTGCCAAAACTTTTGTCTTAACAGAAAAAAGCAGTAGTAATTTGATCATTATTTATTTTCCATGTTATCACACAAATAGAAACAATACTGGCAACGCTGCCCGCTGCCCCCGCAAGACACGGCGTCGAGTCTATTTTGTACTGAGAAATCATTATAATCGACCAATTGTGTACTTGTCATTTTCGTCGCGACTGCAGCGTAACATTATTCATGGGCCACTTGAAAAGGGTCTGTGCACTACTTCGACACAAGCCGCACGCGCTTGCTTTTGTCTCTCTCTACAAAATCAAATGCGCGATTTAAGCTTAAGCATGTGCTGCAATTTATGCAGATCCGTACAGATCTAATGCGAAGTACTATATCTGATTGGTCGGTCGGTGCTCGGTCCTCGGTATTGGCATATTGGTATTGTCGCGTCACGTGGCTTAAAATTTGAATGCGAAAAATTTTCTATTCAGGTATTTTGTGTCTTACGTTGAGTGACTAGTGACTCACTGACTGACTGTCGCTGTGTAGAAGGGATGTGGTTTACAGACTTATCCACGTGAAACGATTCTGGAAATACACATTTGAAGAAAAAATTGAGCTGAAGGTGTCAGGTCGACCACTGCCGGACATATTTATAGAAACACAGGGCGCTAGCCGGGGCAAGGGTTATACGCGGCATTTCAGCAGGGAGATTTACACCAGAAATGACTGGATTTGTGGGTGCAACAGGAAGAATGCCCTTTTCTGCTTTGCTTGCATACTTTTCGGGGATGATAAAGCTTGGACGGAGGTAGATGTTACAGATTTAGTGCACCTGAGTGAAAAAATTAAAAAGCATGAAAACTATAAAACGCATCTTCATAATTCGATGGAATTGGCTTTATTGGGGACTGTTAACATCAGAGCTCAGTTAGATTCAGCATATTGGAGAAACATACAACAGCATAATGATACCGTTACAAAAACAGGTACGTTCTATCAAAAATAATCGATTGTATCAAATTTTGCGGAGCATTTGAATTGGCGCTACGGGGCCACGATGAAACCGAGAGCTCCCAAAACCCGGGAATATTTCGTGGACTGATTAATTTTTCCGCTGAGCTTGATACAACCTTAAGCGAACACATAAAAAATGCTTCAACATTTAAAGGAACTTCGAAAGGAATACAAAACGATCTACTGGATTGTGTTCTTGAAGTTTGTCATAAAGAAGTAATAAAACAGATTAACACATAAAAGATGCTTCAATATTTAAAGGAACTTCGAAAGGAATACAAAACGATCTACTGGATTGTGTTCTTGAAGTTTGTCATAAAGAAGTAATAAAACAGATTAACAGATCCTCGTATTTCGAGGAAAACCCAACTGGTAACAATTTTCAGATACGTATTTAACGGCGAACCAGTAGAACGTTTTTGGAATTATATGAATCCCGAAAAATGTGACGCTTATACTCTCACAAGATATATTTTGAGCGTCGTAGATCCATTAATAGGCAATTTCCCTAACAAACTGATTTGGCAAAGCTATGATGGAGCCGCGGTAATGAGCGGACATAATGCTGGAGTGCAGGCAAAAATTAAACAAAGATATCCTTGCTCACTATGTGCATTGCTATGCGCATCAGTTAAACCTGATTTTGTCCCAAGCTGCTTCAGCAAATGCTCAAGTCCGGGTGTTCTTTGGGGATTTGAAAAATATTCTGGGATTTTTTTATAATTCTCCTCAACGCGTTGAGGTACTGAACAGAATTGTAGGGAAAAAATTCCACAAGGAGCAACAATTCGTTGGAATTTTAATATTCGAATAATAAATGTAGTGTTTGAGAACAGATAATCATTCATTGAATGCATGGAAGAAATACAGGACATAGAAGAAAATTTCACTAATGAAACACCGCGGTATTCGTCGTATGTTAAACGATTCTGTTTTCGTGTTTTGGTTGACATTTTTTCATCATGTCATGCCTCACGTCGACATCTTTTTCAACCAGTTGCACAAGAGAGCGCAAGTTAAAACGGCTATCGACAATTTTGAAAAATGTATTGTCGATGTGAGAAATAAAATTGATGACATAATAAATGAAGCCAAAAGTATTTGCACTGAACCCCAAGGCAACAAAAGGAGACGACGTAATAATAGCACTAACGATCACCGAGTTGCCGCATTAGAAGTATGCGACAATATAGTGAATTCTGCAAATGACAGATTTCAATTCAAAGATCATTTGGTAGCCGCATCCCTTTTTTCCCCGAACACTGGAGAATACTGTGGTAAGTTTCCTGATGACAAGTTGGAAACTACCTGCTTGGCTTATCCCGAATTAGAAAAAGGTCATTTAAAGACAGTGTTGTCTGTTATTTATGCACGGAATGATTGCCGAGATTTACATGGAACTCTGTCTCTTTTAAAATTTTTGATACAAAATAGTTTGGAAGAAGCATTAAAAGAAACAAAAAAGCTATTAGAAATCATTGTTACAACTCTGTCAACATCAGAGGCTGAGCGAAATTTATCAACATTGAAAATAATCAAGACTTTTCTTCGTAATACTATGACCCAGGATCGCCTTACAGCGTCGACGATGCTGTCCATTGAAAAG